GTCTGATATAAGAGTTGTGAAGTTTTAAGGACACCTGCCTTATCACTGATTAAACCTAAACATTCTTTTCAGTGGTAAGAGTAAGCAAGGACCCTAGGACACCCAGCTTATTGAGGGCTAGCCACTGATAAGAGTAGCAGGGGAATCCTGTCTTATCAATGATTAGTCTCATATAAGAGTTGTGAGGTTTCAAGGACACCTGCCTTATCAATAAACATCCTAGGACTTCGTCAGTGATAAGAGTTGGGCACCCGCCTTATTGAGGGCTGGTCAGTGATAAGAGTAGCAGGGGAATTCTGTCTTATCAGTGACTAATCCGATATAAGAAGTAGCGAGGTTTCAAGGACACCTGCCTTATCAGTGACTAACCATAGGATAAGCCTACCGCTAAATGTGCTTGGCACACAGGGGCCAAGGCCCACTAAATTGCCTTTGTCAAACAAAGCTCCAGTAACAGATGGATATATCCTAAATGGTCTGCCATACCACCGCTAACTTTCTCCACAATCTGCATTGTTCAGTTCTAACTAATTACCTCTGATTCTACTGAAAGGGGATAAGTGAGCTGCCTCAGAGAAAGACTGTCCATTTAATTGATTCCTTTCCATGAGATTCTTTCCACAAGTTGGATTGATGATATGCTCATGTGTGTTGGGAGAAGGAAGGGAACTCAGACAGGATAATCCGAAAAAGGATAGGAATGAGATAGTGAGGAGGATATGGGGAGTTAATACGACAGTAAAAGGGGACGTGAATTATTATTCACCACCTAAAGCGAAAGGGCAACAGCCCAAACAATTAGTTAAGGATAGAAGTCAGACAAAAGACATAGAATCTAGAAGGAACTTTCTAGATCTCAGTTAGGAAGAGGGATGTTAAGATTCTCTTGGACTGTGTTGTGTCTACAGGTTTCGATACTTTGGAGAACTTACGGGGAATCCGTAAGGGCAGCAATTCTGTTATCTCTGGATAACAGGTCGGTAGAACTCCGACTGAACTTCCACCCATGGCTTGGCACCGACACCTAAGACAAAACCTAAGAAGGGAACAGATAAATCTTCCCCCTGTATCTATGCCTAAATTGTCCAAATCGCACTCAGGAGTCTTCAAAATGTGTGGGGCTGGGGTAAAATGGAGTCAGGGTTAGGAAGGAATGTTGTTTTCAAGGGTTTGGAGCGTGAGTGGCATGTTGTGAGTGGGTTAAAGGTTGACACTCGTAGCGCATTCTGTGTCTGCATTTGTATGTGTGTATGTATTTTCCTGCATCTGCGCAGGTGTTGGATATTTGTTCTGCCTCCTGAGTTTGGGATCTTCTGGAAATTCGGACAAAGGGACACGACAATCGTGAAAGTGAGCTCCACCGCTCAGTCAGCTCCCCTGATTTACGTACATACATATATCTATATATATACACTTGTGAATGAGATCGTAGTTGGTCAGGATCGGAAAATCATTTTTCTAGGTTTTGTTTGAGAGAATAGGAGACTACAAAGGGATCGACCCTGGCATTCTCACATGATGAGCAAAGTAAACACAAAGTCATTGTCATAGTTAGTTAAGCATGGAAAACTGTCCGAGAAGTCGACCTGATTAGATAGTCGGTCCTGAGAGTTAGCACCTCGGGGCTCGACATACGGGTCAGTCTTAAGGCGTTCTACCGCGCGTATGCCTATGCGACGGCGATCGAGAAAACGCCCTCGGCTGACCTACCTCTGCGATTGCATGTAAAAGCCTTCGTATGTGGGTCAGTAGCTCAGCAGGGATACACCCACCTAAGGGATGGTGATAACTCCCGCAGGTGGAGGTATGTTGTACCTCGCGGGACCCTAACCTGTCGTAGGGAGTCGCGAGAGGTATAGCGCACGCGCACGGTCGGAGTTGGTATTGCGTAAAGTAACAAAAAGAAAACTCCTGCGTGACACGACCGTGAGGTCCAACACCAAAAACTACTTTACGTCTGGGTGTGGGACCGCCACGTGCGACACCGCGCAAAAGGGCGATGCAACGACGATCGACACTCGGACGGCGGCGGAGGATCGCAGTGGTAGAACTGGAGTCGCCGAAGGTGCGGGCGAGGAGAGGGTAGATGACGTCCGCCACGACGAGGGAAGAAGAGACGGAAAGCGGGAGGGCGACGACGACGACGACCGTCCATTTGTGACGAGGTTGAAGGGAGCCGCAAAGGAGGATGGTCTGGAGGAAAGATCGAAGTTGTGGGTTGATTGCGACTCTTTCTGGGGTCTGGGACCGGGGAAACCCTTGAGGGAGGCGGTTGGCGAGTGCGCTGACTACTTCATCGCAATCGACAACGGAGACGCGGGAGCTGAACCGCCTGCGATGCTCATACTACTGCCGAATGACTTGCCGCGCTTCAAGATCGACGACCCTGCGCAGCGTGAAACGGCTCTGCGCAGAGCGCGCAACGTCGAGAAACTGGTGCTGCGCGCCATCCACGACTGGATCTTCAAATCGTCGTCACGGTCGGCTGGATTCGCTCGTGCAGAGTCGTACATTAATTGTCGACATTGCCACAAACGTCGCACGAGCAGTTTGGCAGGGGCAGGAATGGTCGAACGTGGTGTCTCCTGCACTTGTGTACCACACTCTGGCGCTGAAGATGGACGTGCCTCTGTGGTTCGCGGGGGTGAAGATTGTGGATCGGCCCGAGGATGACGACATGGCGGCGCGGCAGAAGGCGACAGTTCTTCGCATTGCGGAGTGCTGGACAGACGCACTGTGGTGTGGACAATGGGCGGATGGCGGGCGCGTGAAACAGGAGAGGTTGTCTAGGCTTGCGGACTGTCTTCGAGCGTTGCTGAGCGCGTGCATGTGGATCATACGCATGGGTGGTGACGACGACCGTTTGCATTACGAGGCGTGCCTTTACTCATCCATGGTCGCCAAACGGACAATGATAGCGGCGGGGTCATACATCTTCAACTGGCGGCGACACATCGTCGACAGCGCGAACCTTGTCTTGGATCGTATAGGGAAGGCTCACCTCACGCTGGGAGAATACCCGCACTGCATTTCGGAATGGTGTGACTGCGGGTTGGTGTTCGGCCACAACGCGGCCCTGAAGAACGTGGCAGAAGCCGCGAAACACGGATGGATTGGCAGCGGGCCTGCGGCGGAGGAAGTGGGAGACGAGGACGGTTGACACGTGGGTGCGTCCGTGGCGCAACGTTAGGGTGCGGATCGTCGACTGATTGTAGTATTGGAAGACGCAACGACGAACGCAGCGCCTGCGACCGCAGACGGGGCAGCACGGGCGGGATGGGTGCCGCCTGGTGTTGCTTGTTCAACGGGGAAGGGCGGGGGGGGGGGGGG